AAAAAAAAAAAAAAAGGGGAATGTTGTCTTTACTCTTTACCTACTAGATGCCAGTAGCACCTTCCATCCACATTGTGACAACCAAAAATGTTTCCAGACATTGCCAAGTATCTCCTAAAGAACACATTTACTTCCAGTTGAGAACCACCATGCTGGTGGCTACTGTATTGAACACCATAGGTAATAGATTTCCATTATCACAGAAAGTTTCTTTGGACATTTCCAGTCTATAGGTCTTCCTCTTGTTCTCATTTTTACAATTAGAACTTTAACCCTACCAAGAGATTCGGAATGAATTTTTTACAATTAGTGAGCTGTGTCAATTCTGCAGATTTCATGCACTGAAGGTGGTATTTTAGAAATGGCACTGGTGTGGCTCTGAAAGTCTGCTGAGCCATTCTCTCCATTCATTGGCTTTCCTTGCTGAACTTGGCCATGTGCTTCACGCCTTCTGCATCTACTTTTTTCATCTGTAAATGGTGATTGTTTTAGGTAGTTTGGCATGCTATGACAAATAACATGCTGTTCAAGGTGGTTTGAACAGCAGATATTTGTTTCTTACAGTTCTGGAGGCTGGAGGTCCGATATTTGGTTCCTGATGAGGGCCTGATTCCTGATTTGCAGATGACCATCTTGTCGCAGTATCCTCTCCTGACTAAGAGAGCAACATCTCTGGTCTCTCTTCCTTTTCCTAATCCCATCATGGGGTCCCACCCTGTGACCTCATCTAACCCTAATTGCCTCCCAAAGGCCCCACCTTCAAATGCCATCACATTAGAGGGTAAGGCTGCCACCTAAGAATTTGGAGGACACACAAACACGCAGTCCATAACAGCAGTCATTGTGCTCAGTTGTGCAGAGGACAGCACTAATACCTGGTACATGGCCAGCCTGAAACAATTAGCCCAACTCCGTGTGGTGACTGTTACTGATGCAGGTGGGCAGCATGTCGCCCTTTTTCATCCTGTGTGCAGATGAATTCAGTGACACACGTGACTGCAGCACCACTCTTTATGGGGAAGTAATAAAGGAATGTGAGGGACAGATGTAATTATCTCGGCCTCATATGAAGGATAGTCAAATCCTGTTGTTTAACATGAGGTTGAGATAGACTTTCTCAATCATGCAGGATTGGGTGAGTTCAGGATTCTTTGTGTGTCTACTTTTTTATTAAGGTCACATGGGCACCAGGGGAGATAAAAGAAAAGTAAGCTGGGTCCTGCCTCAAGGGGCTTCACTTTCTCTGGTCCTGACCCCGAGGGCTGTTCAGATGATTTCTTCAGAAACACTGCCATGCTGAAGGCTCCCCAACAAGATGGCTTTTGATGAACCTCTTAACATATTTAGTGTGATGTGAATTCTTTTAACCTAATTGCGTGCTTTTTGCTTTCTCTACCATTACCCAGCTATGTGTGTGTGTGCATTTTGGATCTATAGTCAGAGCTTCCTTTTATTAGCCCTAGTTAGTACAGCTGCTGCTTCTTTAGATTGATTTTTTTTTTTTTTTTTTTTTNTTTTGAGACAGAGTCTTGCTCCTGTCACCCAGGTTAGAGTATAGTGGTGCGATCTTGACTTGCTGCAACCTCCGTCCCCCGGGTCCCAGTGATTCTTGTGCCTTAGTCTCCCCAGTAGCTGGGATTACAGGAGCTTGCCACCACACCTGGCTAATTTTTGTATTTTTAATAGAGATGATGTTTCCCCATGTTGGCTAGGCTGGTCTTGAACTCCTGACCTCAGGTGATCCACCTGCCTTGGCCTCCCAAAGTGCTGGGATTACAGGTGTGAGCCACCGTGCCTGGCCTAATATGTAGTTTTAATGTTAGGCATTGTGCATGCCAGAGGTTGCAGTTAATGTCATTCTCACTTGTAGCTCTGAGGAAGGTGACTGGGGTTCAGGAAGAGTCTGAGTTTGCTCAGGATCCCTGAGCATCAGCAGGGAGCCACGCCTGGCACTTCTCTCATGGCTGTGGTTTCTGTAGTGGGTTGCTGGGCTCAGCGCCTGTTGCTTTGCCTGGGCTCCATCATTCTGGTGAACCCCATTTCCTTATTTGAAGACAAAGGCCAAATAGCAGTGTCAGCTGAAGATGGACTGATCTAGAAAATAAAATATGCTGCTGAGTGAGAAAACCCCCTTCTCCTTAGCATGGCTAGGATGTAAATTCATCTCTTGTAGTTGCAGTGGTTTCAAGAAGAGGAAAAGGCAGCCTCTGTTTCCCTAGGGGCATTAGTCAGAGAAGCAGGAGCCAGAACAGCGAGAATTTTAACTTTACACCTGCAGCCAAAACGGAGCGCAAGTTGTGCTCCTGGAAGAGAGGCGGGCCAGTGCTGTTTGGATTTTCTTTCTGCTGCTTTCATTATCAAGATCCCACGCTTGGGAACAGCAATTGTAAACTTGCCCCTTGTTAAGGGGAGGCTCCTCCTGCCTGCCAGAGCTCATGAGAATACCCGTCCTCCCCTGGAGGCCAGGGAGTGGCCTGGGGAAGGCTCTGGACCTGGCCTTGGTCCTGAGGGGCCCACCCCAAAGCATGCCTGGCCAGGGGGCAAGTTGGCTTTTGGGAGGGAGCTGCTGAGAGCCGTTGTTTCCTGGGCACGATGCCTCGGCTCTGTCTGAGGCTGTGTTGTCACTGTGCACGTTTACTTTATTCTGGGACAGACACAGCCTCACAGGAAGAAAAAACACAGGCACCCGTGCCACTCTTAAAATATTTTTGGAAGTGGAAGATAATCTGGTAGCCTTTCTCTGAGTTCCACAGCTTATCAGATGAAAACAGCCTAATGATTTTTCTGGTATTGAACATTGGGCTTTACATTTGGACCAAATCATGCAAATGTATATTTTTTTATTGAGAAATTTTAGAAGGTCTTTTCAAGCATTGCAAATGTGATTACCCCATCTCTACTGGGAAATCCTGACTATAAGTACAGATAGCACGTGAGCTGTTGTACATAAACATGAAGCGTCTCTGATTTTATCGCCAATGTTGCTTTAAGGCAGTGGCCCGAGATTTTACTCCAGAAAATTTCCTACTGTTCTTGCTTCCCAGAATATCCAGTGTATTCTTTTCCAGAGCACCTCACCAGGAGTTTGGCTGCTTAATAACATTTTAAACTTGCCTTGTTTATCTTGGTGAATTTCCTGGCTAGCAAGGAAATTCATCATTACACTTGGGTCCAAGTAAGGAAAAAAGAACCTTTGTATTTTACTTTAAATCTGTATACACTGTTGATTGTTGTAGAGAAGAATTGGCCACAGATATGTTCACTGGGTTAATACAATATGTACATGTGTGTGTGTTACATCTGTATCTATGTGAAGTGTATACATGTAAGCTTTTAATGATGGAAAATTTCAAACATAAAAGTAGAGAGAATAGTATACTGAAACCCTCCTGTACCCCTCACCCCATTTTGCCTGCACAATGGCCAGTCTTGGTTTGGTGGTGACCCCACCCCATCTGCTAAGCTCTCACTGCCTTATTGAAGCAAATCCCAGAATCCCATTTAATCCATAAATACGTCCCCTAAAGTTATGGACTCCTTTTGAAAATACCTATAATTCCTGTATCCCACTTAGCAGGCATCTTGTGTCCAGTGAGCTCTCCCATTTCTTCAGGTGTTTGGGTCCAGTTTGGGCTACAGAGTGCCTTTGGTTGATGTGTCTCTTAAGTCTTTTCGTCTCTACTCTCCCTCCTTTTTTTCCCCTTGATAGCTTATTTGTTGGAGAAAGTAATTAGGTTGTCCTATAGAATTTCCCTAATGTTGGGTTTTGCTGCTGAAATTCACATGATACCATTGAACATGTTCTGTCCCTTGTTATTGATGCAAATGGGCGTAATTGTTTGAGAGGCTTGATCTGATTCAAGTTCGATTTCTTTTCTTTTTTGAGTAAAAATGTTTTTTAGGTGGTGCTGTTACTTCCATCAGGAGGCACCCACTCTCTGGTTGTTTCCTTTTGTGGTGTGAAGATTATCGGTAGGTTCTGGCCTTGTTGGCCCAATGCTTTCATTTATATTAATAACATTTTTCATCAGCTTTTTACCTAAGTTATGCATGTGTATCTTTCAGGATAAGTTCCCGAAAGCAGGCTTGATAGGTTAAAGGGTGAATGTATTTGTTGTATTATGGGTTGAATATTTCTTATCTGAAATGCTTGGGACCAGAAGTGTTTTGGATTTCAGCTTTTTTTTTTGGTTTTGGAATATTTGTATTATATTTACTGGTTCAGTATCCCTGATCC